ATAACTGAAGTGCGCTACTAGAGCAGGATCACATTGAGTTTAACAACTTTCTGTTACTCCTGAGGTATTGGAGAAAAATCCTACCTTTAAGGTATTGGAGAAAAATCGTGACAGGTCACTGGATTTCTAGCCTGCTACCAGCGTTTGGCCTCAGGAGAGGAAACATTTTTGGACGCTCTTATCTTCTGAGGTAGGGCACTGGTTGTAGTTGCCTGGGTTGCCACTTTCACAATTGACACAGTGCGGTGGTATAGCGCAGGGATGAGGATTGTGCACTAATGCACCGCACTTCCTACACACGCTTACCGACATACTTCATTGCTGGGTATGCGCAAAACTTTGAAACTTAAAAACCGCACAAAGGGTTTGGTACATTCTGTCGCACATGGTTGTAGAAACTACAACTGATCCTTACTGGGAGGGACGCACGGCCAAAGGTAATGACCAGGGGATGAAGTAGAGATCACTTTCCCCTGCTCTTTCCTTTAATCCTATAAACTTGTCACAACCTGGCTCTTGAAAAATTAAATTAGTTCATTTTCTGAAAAAAGTCATCGTGGCTTACGACGCCTTTGCACAGGTTCCAGGTTGGGTGCGTCGTCACCCAACCACCTGGAGGCCGCCAATCTGCTTCACGTTTAGTAATTTCTCCATTTGCTTCAAAGAGAATCGTTCCAATCTGTCGCACGACCGCTAGGAGCTTCCCATATGCTTCCTCTATGGCTCACGCTGGACGGACAGCACTTACGTTTTTACGGTTTTTCCTTCCTCGGCGTATGCCATGAGGAAACGAGACTTTTTCGGTCATCTTTTGTAAAAAAAACAACTATTTAAATCAATAGTTCGTTCCGGATATCTCCTCTTCCTTGCGGAAGAATATCCATGGAGTTGGATATGATTCATCCCCGTGATCCCCACTCACCATGGAGCCCAACAAGGGGACACTCCACCGGAGTGCCAGTGTCGCCACGGAGATGTAGTGGAGAGATACAGCGTTGTCCCGCCCTGGATGCCCCCGATCATCATGGAGTTCAGCACAATACCTGGTCCGAGCCGATTGATCGGGAGTGGGTTGGACTCTTCAAGACGGGCTGAGGCAAAAGCGAGTGAGTTGGAAATCTACAAGTTATGTTCCCCAAAATGCGTAAAAGTATCCCTAGTAGCAAAACAGAAAGTAGCAAAAGGAATAATTGAGAAAAAAACGGTCCCTCAACTGTCACGACACTCATTGCCTCCGACACGGTTCGCCATGCACGGCAAACACGTGGGAGGGCGTTCTGCATACGGGGGGGGGGGACTGAAATAGAAGGGGTATAAGAAAAGTGTGTAAACCAAAAATATTCAGATTAACAGGGGGATTTTTCAATGAGATTTGCTATCCATTTTGCATTAGTTTAAATTTGCTATCAAGAGAGTTGCTGCAAACTGACTTTGATTATAAGCTCCATGGTGACAAATGAACATCACATTTGTTTCACATGGATGATCTTTAAATGTCTGCTAACAATGAAGAATTCTCTACCAAATGCTGTCATGAATGATTTTAGCAATGACATCTGCATTAAATTTGGTCTCGACATATAAGTAAAAGTCAATTTAGAGAAACACACTGACGTCTGAGAGCTTCATGTTAATATGCAAAATCTTGAGCCAGGTAAAACTTACAAATATCTGGGCATTGAAGAATGTGAGAACTCTTACAACACAATAGAAGACAGATTTCGCACGGAGTGTTACAGAAGAATAACTTGTCCTACAGTCCGCTCAGAACTCCAGGAATAACATATCTGTAATTGGTAGTTTGTCAGTGTTTGTAGCCGAGTACAGTTTCAGTTTAGTGGACTAGACTGTGCAAGAAATTCAAATCATGGATCGAAAAAACAGAAAATTGCCTACAATGCATCAGGTCACCCACTCTTGAGCTGATATACAGACTCTGTGCGTGTCATGTAAGGAAGGAGGAAGACGTTTCAGACAAATTGAACCTGTGACATAATGCAATAGACGGGATGGGAAAGTATGTGGGCAATCATCAAGACTCATTAATAAGGTGGGTTATTAAATCTGACCGAAGAATATTAAACAGAAGCATCGGAAGCGTAGCAAGAGGCATAGTGCACTATGCAAGACGTGTAGAATAACAAAGACACTGAACTTCTGATGCTACTTAACATGAACGGGAGAAACAAAAACAAATGTTAAAGACATCGTGAATAGACAAACCACTTCCTGGACGATATCAAAAAAGAATGGATAGGGTGTACATCAATAAAGAGCAATCATTTATGCGGCTTAAGAGGGGGTGAATGAAGCCACAATCATATGCAGTTGTATAACTGCCCAAGATCAGGCATTGAGAACACATTATGATAAAGTAGTTCCCGAAATTTCCCAAGATTACAAATGCCATATCTGTCAGGAACGAGGAGAAACCACTGATCATAGTGTCTCAGCTTCTCTAATTTAACAAAGACCGAATACGTTAAAATACTCGAAAGGTTGTATAGATACTTCCACTGGCACATATGTACCTCCCTCAAAAGTTCCAAACACAATAGCACCAAGCGGAACGAACCCTCACCAAAACCGGCTATGTCTGTTGGATTGTGTACGATATTGCATGACCAACAAATTCAAACTGACCACATGATGATAGTAGCAAACAAACCAGATATTGTTATCCAAGATTTGGAGAAAAAACATGTCTAGTATATGTCGCTGTGTTGTGCGATCACATCATAACCAAGGAGGCAGAGAAACGTCAATACAAAGAGTGCGGAAATCGAGATCAGCCGAATGGGGGGTGTTAAAGAAGAGTAGGTAGTTCCGTAGGTATCGGAGCTCTGGAATTTGTTCCGCAAAATTAATGTAATAACTTGGCCAAACTACAAACTATTATAATATTAATAATTATAATAACTCATAACATCATGTGTTACACAAATGATTAAGACACACATTGAGGAACAGAAGATCTTGGTGTATGAACGGATAGGATATAGACCTGGATTTCAGGGATGCCAGGAGCAACTCATTCTCGACTCTAATTATGGGGCACGTGCTTGAAAAACAAAGAAACGTACATATGTTACGTAATTATCTAAAGCATTCGACACCGTGCCCCATTCTTGGCTCCTTCAATGTTTGGATTTATACTACAAGGTCCACCTATTTGTCCAAAACTTCCTGAAAAACGGTGATGAGTCGATGGAATACAAAACTGTACCACTCTAATGGGAAACAATCTGTCCACACAGATAATATGCACATCTGCTGAGGGATTTTCTAGGGTGACTCTTTTAAGCCCTTTATTGTTCTGCTTAGTGTTGAATCCCCCAGTCTCTTCTACTAAATGCATCTAATTATGGCATTGCTCTTAAAAAAGGGAACTTAATCCTTCTTCGTGTCTCATATCTACTTTACATGGATGATCTGCACACCGAGAATCGTATACGACAACTAATAAGCGTGACGGAGAAGTTCACAGACGACATCAACATGAAATTCGGTTTGGATAAGTGCACGAGAGTGAGTATCATTCAGGGTCATATGCAAGTTATAAATTTGGAAAATGATAATGAACCTAAGATTCCTTCATGAAACTCCATGATGCTTACAAATACTTGGGTTTCCAACAGTCACTCTAATCAAACACACTGCCACTAAGAACATGCAATCATTTACACACCAGTAGTTAGTATGGACTCATAAAAACGCAACTGTCTGCAAGAAACCTTGTGCAAGCCATCAATTTATTTGTTATTCTAGTGCTGACACTCTTTTGGCATTATTAAATATAGCAATACGGACCTCAAGAACCTCCAGAGGACAATTTGAACCGCTACGACTCAACACCAAAAATATCATCCTCATCCTCATTCAAGTACCGAGCATTTTACCCTTCCAAGATCACAAGGTGAGCGAGATGTTGTAATTTCATAAATCAACACAGCTCTCAAATTTCATTACTCAGAAGATACTTCCTGGAACATTGTGGGAGTTGAGCAAGCAGCGAGTGCAGTTAATAATAATTATAGTCCTCTGAACTTGAAAGAGGCTGATCTGCCTGCTCAGTCAGTAACTGAAACCGAAGAGAAAATAACCTTGAGAAAAGCAAAGGCACCCCATGAGCTGAGTCATCTGTAAGTCGAACCCATGGCAATGAGATTGGGATCTCTTTCCTGACACAGAAGCCTTCATGATAGCTATCCAGAACCAAGTGGTGCCAACTTTGAACTACAGAAAAAACATTCTGAGAGATTCGACCATCCATTCCGACTTGTGTAGCAGATGTGAGGCTGCAAGCGAAAATATCCAACATGTGACAAGTGAATGTAGCAGCCATGCACAGTTGGGATACAAAAAGAGGCATGATGTGGTGAAGCATATCCACCAATTATGGCACTGGAAACGGGCTTACTCACCACTTCCATGCTGTATTATAAATATGTGCCTCGGAACATGCTTTAAAGTAGTGAGCACATACTCTACTCGGATCACTCCATTATCACTGACAGACAAGTAGGCAGCAATAGACCTGATATAACTTACATCGATAGAAACCATCAGCAGGTTTTCCTTATCAATATGTGAATACCCAACACCCACAACATATCAGCAAAACATCACGAGAAGATCCAGAAGTATACCGATCTCACCCATGAAGTCGCAGCTCAGCAAAGTGACAACTATAATAATATCAGCCACAGGAGTGATCCCAAAAATGACACTTTGAGCACTAGAATGCCTTTACTTGGATACAAGGAGTATATACAATATGCAGAAGGCAGTTATCTTGAATACATACCGTATTGTTAGACCCTACCTAAATCTTCAATAGAGCAACCACACACCTGGTCATCATACCTGTGAGTGGTTGACGTACTGACCAGTAAAACTAAACTAAAATGAAATACAAATACTAATAATGATGATAATGATGATGATGATGGTAATAATAATAATAATAATAATAATAATAATAATAATAATACAATATTGTTCACATTTTTAAATATTGCACGAGTGTATTACCAAGTATATTCAAGACTGATATCAATGCATTTATTTAGAAGAAAGAAATCAAAAGATGGGTGAGCTATGATCATACATGTAATAAACAAAGTTTTTTTTATACATTTGCAATCCTTTAATACAATATCATTCTTTCACTGATTGGGTATTTGAAACCCAGTAGATATACTATACACAAATAAAGGATAACATTTCATGTTATAACATACCATAAATACAAACAAAAATAAATAATCACATGTAATCAGCACATTATGATTAGAGAAAAACAAATACTTTAGAAATTATACTGATGAACATTTAAGAAATTTTGCTTCAATTTACTAATATAATTTTTGCCCCAAGATATCAAAAATACAACACTCTACAGACCATTTGAATTCAACACATTCACAATATACTTTAAAAACAACATACTAGATGTACTACTTCAATCAGTACAGATTCAAAATTCTAAGCATTACAAGAATTACTAAGCATTAGTGAGACAAAAATGCATCCAATTTGTACCTGACATGAAACAATACTCCTGTAAATAATATTTAAGAATGTTTTAATAATAATATATAATAATAATGTCTTGAGTAAACACAAAATAGAGCAACAAATAAATTTAAAAATTCTTGCGTCCTTCCACTTTCAATTATTTTAGTCTTGATTATTGTTGAATATACATCACACATAATAATGAGTGTGCAACAGAAAACCTGGTCTTCAGGCAATAGCTTTGGCTTCTGGTAAAAATGCTTCCCAATATTTAATAAGCTGTAAATAAAAAATGATACAAAATTAATATTTCCACAACACTTAACAATGAAGATCTGATCACTAACAATCATCAATTAACACTGGTAAACAATGATTTTGCAAGGCAAACAAATTCTGGTGTTTCTTTTGTATTTTTATCTGGTGATTTCAAAAATGAAGTAAAATTTTCCATCACCCACCATTGTTTTGTAACTTTGAAAATATTTTCTTTCTGCTTATTAACATGTATTTATTTTTATTACATGTATATAAGATGCTGATTAAAAGGAGTATTTTACATTTAAATTTTATTTCATTGTGTCAACAATGGACTTATAACGTTTGGCGATTGTTACCTTCAATTCACGAGTTCCAACAACGACAATGACATTCCTCTACAAAACTATGATTCAAGGTGAAGTTTGCAAATGAATAGATTTCTTAAAAGAAAAGTTAAGTCTGTGCTCTCTTCTGTTGTCAATTGGATTGTGATAGAATTGTGGAATACTGTCCACTGCATCATAAGGTGTTGTGTAAAAATGTATAGTATAGAAGAATCGTGGCACAAAAATGCATTAATGATAAAAACCACTTCTGTTATGTATGTGGTGAGCTGAATTTCAAAGCACAGAGGCAAAACTTTATTCCTCTAATAAGAAGAGCTTAAGTCTGTTATTTCAACAATAAAAACAGAACAAGACATAGGCTCTGGTAATCTGTTGAACCAAAAATGTAACACTTAACTGGCTGGTTGAAAGGATCCTAGCATATGCCTTTTGCAGACCCTATTATATAGCACGAACCTAAGGACAGACTGCTACTTCTGCTTGACAAATATATCTGTAATTAGTTTGAAGTCCAGACACACTGTTAAACATCAGTCCTAAGATTTGGCAATTTGACCGGTGCTTCATGGCCCAGTACTTTCCATACCAACTGCACCAAATGACATAAAAATGACAAAAGAATTTTGTGATGTTCAGAATCATCCAAATTTTGCAGTCTATGATTCTATAAATGAACCTTATTTTGTAACACAGGAGAATTTAAATGATTTGTTCAGGATCTTGATTTAAGTAAAACCAAGGCAGAATTGTTCGCATCAAGATTGAAAGGATGGAAGCTACTGCAGGATGATGACAAAGTAAGTTTTTCCGCAAATGCCAAAAGGAATTTGAGCATTTGTTTAAGCCAGAGGAGGACCTGGGAGGAATCTGAAGATTGGCGTTTGTTCACAGCATCTTCAAAAACAAGTTTGAAAGGACTGTTACTACATAATAGAAACATATATCCATTTGTTCCTTTAGCGTATGCAGTTGGTTGAAGGAAAATTATGAGAAGATGAAACTCTTACTATCCGCTATTAAGTATTCATTTTTCAATTTTTCTAGGCAGATATGTGGGGATTTGAAAGTTTTCTTGCTTCTTGGGCAAGTGGAACAGCAGAGATAAATGTAATCATTATATTACAAAGAACTGTCTGAAAGGAGTTGCTTCATCCAGAATATGAAAATGTTCTTCCCCTATCACTTGTATGTTCTGAAAAAAATCTTATTGCCTCCACTGCATATCAAACTACGCTTGATTACGAATTTTGGAATAGCTATGGATTGTGATGGCAGTGCATTTTCTCCCTTAAGTTACCAAGGATCAGTAATGCGAAACTAAAGGAAGGAATATTTTTTGGCCCTCAGATAAGGGAACAATACGCAATTTGAAAGAGTTGAATATGCAAGAAACAGCTGCATGGCAATCTTTCAAAGAAGTTGTAACAAACTTTCTAGGAAACTTCAGGTCCGGTAACTACAGAAAACTTGTTAGAGAGATTATTGAGAACTACAAGATAATGGGATGTAATATGTCATAGCAAATACACTTTCTGCACTCCCATCTTGATTTCTTCCCTCAAAACCTGGAGGATATGATTGACGTACATGGGGAACGTTTCCATCAGGACATCGCGGAAATGAAGAGGCGCTATCAGGGTAAATGGTGCCCAAATATGTTGGACATTGAAAAGAGATGTTCCTCACGCAAAGTACAGTCTAAAATCCAATTCACATACATTTAGGTAAATAAATGTAATTTCATCTAATGATAATACTATAGTGTATAGACACAAGAAATGCTTTTAACACGGTTACTCAAAAACCCTGGATAATAGAAAAGTTCTGTAAAAAGATTTTAAATATTCACAAAAAAGTAGATCAGAAACATATTGTTTCACTTATAACATAAAAAAGTTCAAATTTTCTTGGTCAGTGAAATTAAACCCATAAAACATTACGAAAACAAAATTCAAACTACAATTAATAATGAATTAAAAACGATTTGTATTTCAATATAAGAGTTTAATTTAAGAGTTTATTTTCCATTTCAAAATTTTCCCTTTAAAACACTTACTTTCCAGTAAATGTAGTATAGAGAGAGTTGTGTACAACGCTGCAAAAAATCAATATGTGTGACAAACCCACATTTTGGTCCTGGATACTGAAGTGCATTTCTTCCAAAGAAGTCTGTTCATTTGTCTGAGAATAATACTATCACCAAAAGCTCACTCAAAATTTTTAGAAAAATTAATATTCTTTGCTCAATTTGGCATATGTCATAGCTTCTTGAATGTGATACAGACCCACCCTCCTTTCCCTACATTAATAAAGATAGAGCTTCTTTTCTTAATGAAAATGTTCTTCAAAATTAGATCTGCATTGATTACCTTTTCATATTTTGAGGTACCATTGTTTAGGTCATGGTGCTAGGAATACAGGGAGATGGCATAACATCACAGACTTGAGGTCATTTAAAGCAACATTATTGCTGCATCCAAAATGCTTGCAGGTGTCACAATGTTGAAGTGAATTTTTTGACATATTTTTTAATATCCAAAAGCCTAGATCAAATTAACAAGTTTTTGTAACAGTTCACCAAGGTTACTTTTGTGAGCTTTTGGCTGTACAAATTGTTCAGGAAAACCGGGAATTACTTTTCACAGGTAGTATAACATTTGAAGTTATTCGTGAATTTTCCTAATTTTGTGAAAAAACAACCCACAGTCAAATATTTGGAGCAGGTTATTCTCCTGATTTTAAAGAGGAGGATTTTGATTGAACTTTTTTTATCATACATGCGTTTGTTGAAACTCAATAGTTTCAATAATTTTTGCAGCTTTTTTTGGAACAACTAAGAGAAAAGTGTTGTGCAGCAATTCACAGCAAGTTGGAATTTTAGCTTAGTCTTGGATTACAGAGACACAACTAATACTAACGATACTCCTTAATAATTTGTGCATCACAAGCTTCTTTAGAATTTTAGCACTTAAGTTATTTATATGCACACACTTTGTGAGAAGTCATAAGAGAAATCTCAAAAGCACAAGAAACAAATTCAGTAATGAAATATTTTTGTAGTTTTAAATTTGAGGTTACATTTGGTTTTCAAGCCTAGGCAATATTTAATACTTTATAATGAATCCTTAGTTTAAAATTAAGCTTCTCAGTTGTAGTTATTACAATCTTCAATATTCCAAAGATTATTAAATTCTATTGTGCATACTTATTGCAATAGATTTCTACCCCTTTTACAAATCAGCTTGTTACATCTTCACTACCTGAATCTCGGAAGTTATGATAAGTGACTGAGGGGAAAAACAAAAAGATCTGTTAATAGTGGCATTGGTGGGTTGCAAATAAAGAAGACCAGCATGTTTATTTGAACTATTGCAAACATGTTGTATGTTCTTCAGAATATTTCTTGAACAAGGGCAAACTAAAGTACAACCATTTTGCAAACAACATGATTTTAATAGTTTTTAATTTCTTGCCCTTCGTAAGAAAGAAAGTATTAAAATATTGCACCATGAAACCATTAATTTTTGACAGAATAACTCTCACTGCTGAGCCTTGGTAACAAAAAAAAATGGAAAAATCTTGTTCCTACGAATAGTAAATTATTTCCTCTAACATACTGTGTAGTCAGAATCCATGTTAAGTAGGTCCTTGATACCAAAAAATTGATTGGCAAAAAACATGTGTTCAATCCTAGTATCTAAACAATTCTGTCGATTTTTTCCACAATTGACATTTCCAGACCAATTTAAAGGACCTCTAGGCCCTGTGAGCTTGAAATGAATATTTTATTCTAGGGAGCACTGCACAGAAAGCCCTAATTTCATTTTTAAAATTTTCTCAAAAATGGCTCCAAATATTTTGATTAAACTTCGTCCTCGGATAGAGTAGAAGACTTGTTAAAAGCCTGGTGCCGGTCTTATTTTCATTAAAATCCCTGATTTTCCAAAAACTACTGAAGACAGATCTTGAAACAAGGCCATGTGCATTTTTTGAAAATATTAGTCATTTTGTGTAATTTTGAATAGAAAACATTCAATTTTTAAAGAACTATTTTCTTTAGAAAATTTCCTTTAAATTTTGTCCATGTTCATCAAAGAACGGTAAAAGAAAACCATGCTAGTCCTATTTCCCACTAACTTCCTGCATTTTCAAAAATGGGAAAAAATTGCAAAACTACAAATTTGATGATAAGAGATTTTGTCTTAAAATCTGTAATTAAATCGGATCTTTAAAAAGTGTCATGTACAAGCATTTTTTCTTGGGGGGGGGAGAAGAGAGTAGTTTTCAGGTAATGGGTAATTGTGTTAGAAGTTAAGCTCTACACATTTTTTTTTTATATTCTTTCCACAGAGAGTGCAAGAAAGAGAGTCACAAAGAGGACAAGAAATGCTTAATGCACAGGTCTCCTTTTCATTGAACTCTAAAATTTCGAAAATTGCAAAAGTTGAAAATAATGCAAGAAATCTTTTTGCTGCTGTAACAACACTAGTTTTAAATATTTGTAACCAATGAAACATTAATTTTTAAGAAATCAGAATGGGTTGTTATTCTTAGCTCAGCCCATTCTAAAAACATGAAACATTAGCCTAGGGGGCGGATAAAATTAAATTTGTCCTCAAAATGCGCAGGAGGTTTGAACGAGTCAATTTAGTGCAATTGCAATACATTCTGCACTTTTTCCATGGTTGGTTGTTCTAAGAACACCGCCACCCTAGAGTTTGGGAGCAGCAGCTGCGACTGTTGTAATGTATTATGAAAATCATGTCATTGTCTCTATTTTCAGCAATCACCCTTCACCCGTCTTGCAGTCTTTCTAATTTCCAGCTACAGCTTAATATAAATGTAAGAGTGGTCACAGGTTTGCAATTAGAATTTACAACAGTTAGGAGTATAAGCAAGAAATATTTTTATTTCAGCTATAAATGTTCATGTGTGTGCCTGGTAGTTTAAATTGTTATCTTCTATATCACTTTCAATGTAAAAAAAATTGTTTGAAAAATGGACATTACATATTTATTTTCGTGCTTGACTGGTGTCTTGGGGATGGCCCAGGCATCATTTGCCGAACATAGCAGAATTTGTAATGCCGCCTCCCTGCATGCTATGGCTTAGGTGCACCCCTTAGGTTGAGGGTTTGAAATGCAGAAGAAAGTTTAAAACAGAATCAATGTAAATAAAAGTTGCCCAGTACTTGTTCTTGCCTATAGTGCATTTCTTCCGAAACTCACCCAGCGCGGAGGCACTGCTGTGCAGTAATCTGAGATTATCGTTTGCATTTATGGCGACCAGCACTGCCTAGGGGCGCCTCAGAAGCCCACCAATGACTTTTTTGGGGAGTTTCAATTTTATTTAGAAAACTGAAAATCTTTGATATTAATGCTTTATCACAATCGTCAATAAAATAAACATGTAAGTTTAAGCTCCAGAACTACCCCCACCTTCGGTAACACACATGACCGTGTATATCTTGGTATTGCTAGAGATAAGATGAATTTGTTCTAAAATGTTGTGTGTTTGGATTCCCAGCTAGAGTTGTTCAGAGACAGACAGACATATATTTTTGTAACAAAAATACTTCTCCGCTATCAGGAGCCCACAACCCTTATATTTGTGACAAAACAGTATTTTGCATTACATCACATTCTCTTAATTAAGAATATGAAAAAGTTTAAAAATAAATAAATGTTATATTCTTGTTTTAGGCAAAAATTCTTCTAGGTTTCAAAAATTCAAGTATATTTCAAGATTTTAAAGGATTGAAGTTTCTCTGGCCACCCTGCATTAATTACATAACATTTCTACATCCTCATGAACACTTGGCTTCGTTGTGCAGATTCCTTTATGCAATGAACTTCACTAACACTGAAGTACATAATAACACCAAAATATTTTGTTTTGAATGGAGAGACTGGAGTTGCTGCTCATGTGCTTCAATGACATCTCAGGCAATATGCATGAGTGTATTACCTGAGATGTTGAAAATTGTCTACACCAAATTTTATATATCGTGCACAGATACGAAACGCCTCTGCCACAGTCTCCTGGCAGCTCAAGCCTAGTAGGTACAGATTGCAGCTGAAGGAGGCTACGCTTTAAATACAAAACCTATTCTGATTCACAGGTACTTACATCTTTTTCATCAAAGAAATTTCTCTTGGTTAATTTTTTGAAGCTCTATAAATGTATACTGATTATTTTTGTATACTCTGTCCCAAACACACTAATAAACACGATAGGAAGAGAGAATGGAAATCATGCCAGCCAGAAACATTGACTAATTACTCTTTACATGAAAGGGCACTTTCTTGCCACTTGATATTTGACAAAACCATCATGCAAAACCACTGTTTCAGAGCACGGGCTTAATTGCATTGTGCATAACACTTTCAAAAGAAAAAGACAACATAATTCTGCATTTCCAAAAAGATTCCTTTTAGCTTCTTGATAACTATGGTAGGGCAAAGAGTAATAATTAGTTGTGAAAAAATATGTGATAGTTGGAGGCAATGGAAGGCATTGTAGTTAGGGGGCCATCACTCCACTCACAAGGTGTCTGAACAGTGCACAGTTCTTAAATAAACACACTGTATAAATAAAGTAATAGTCAAATTTTAGAACACCATTAACTAGCAGAAAACTTTTCCTATTATTATTAATGAATACTGATAGACCTGAATATAGATACCTGTTGCTGGTGAGTCATGAGATTTTCAAGGTATTGAATAATTATCGATTTGAAATCTTTCACTCTATTCACTTCAAACCGCTCCATTTCTTTCTTTATCATCTTGGTGATATTGTCGAACTCCTCTTGACATCTCTCTACTTTTGCTTCCCACTGAAAATTAAAAAAAAAAATATTACACACCGTTTATATACAGGTAAGTCCTTTCATATGGTAAACAAAATGCACCGTCTCCTCTTAGATGAACAAATGTCTTTTACAATATTTTGCTGATAAACACTTTGTTACTGAATGGCAGTTTCATGATTTCTCTTTTTTGGTCCAGAAGGACATGCTTAAAGCGAGTCGAAGTTCTCAGAACATTTCAAAGTTTTGTTTAAGAAAAAATGACCCGGCTCCCACACCGGGCGCAACCTGCATCACACACTCGCATCGCAGTCAAGAAAGTGAGTGAGCAGCGAGTGCCAAGGCCCCCCCACCCCCCCTTGCTGGTGTAGGGTGAGAAAAAGAACGAACACGTTGTGAGACCAGGTGGACGAGCGACGAGGCAGATCTCTCTGATAATACAAGCTCACTGAATACAGTACAGACTAACAAAATAATATCCCTATAAGTAATCATGTGGCTGAATAGTCAATACACAAACTCTGGAAATGCTAATGGACTTTATTAACCACATGCCCCTCGTTATGTAAACTCTGAGGAAGCACAACCCGATTATCTCGCTGTCAGGCGCTGGGTTAGGAGCTAAGGTAAGCAAATACTTGGGAGCTTTCAAAACTTGGCTCAACAATTATTTTGCGTTCACAGGAACAATTTCATGAATGAACGAATGCAGATTATATTCAGGCATTCCTCGCCAATGTTTATACGCTTTTGCCGTCTTTCTGGCAGCTTCCGTACTTGCGAAGCTATCCATTCTCTAGGAGTATCCTGGTGCCACTGTTTGACAACTGCAAGAAGTTCGTCATTGGTGATCAACGCCTTATTACCCCGCATGACCTCTCCCATTGCATTGAATAGAGCATGGTCGCTAGGAGCCAGATCCAACAAAATGCAGGACCTGGAATGTCGACGAAGAACCACGACTAGTCCACAGTTACCAGGCTCCGAAAGAACACCGCTGGAGCTGCAATGTACTATTTATCCAACTGTTGGCTCCTCGATCTCCACATGCTTGTTTCTGTGCAATGGATAAGGTATGTCGTCTTCAAATCCTCATGGATGATGGTGAAGAGGGCCGCTGTGATAGACCAGTTGGCATCCCTAATTCACCTGTTCGTAATTATCAAGTCATTGACGCGCTGGACATTGGTTGGCATTCAGTTCCTGGATGCCCAGTGCTTGTGTGTTTTTCAGCAGTCCCTGCCATCTTTGAACTCTGATATCCAACAAAACATGGATCTGCCACTTGGTGACGACTCCCCAAACATTGTTACTAACCTCATGTGGACGTCTTAAGCAGTCAATCCTTCCTTCCAGAGAAACCACACTGTCCACCGCTGCCTGTACTTGTATTATCAACGTCCACCAGCTTATTGACAAGCCGGAACCACAGCTGTTGAAATGTGCTATTTACGGGAAACAGCAACACCATCTGGTGGCTGTAGACAGTACAGCCCATCTTCAGGCATACATCGATGTTACGAACAGCTTCTTTGCAAAAGTTATTGGGGAGAGTGCCATCAATTCACAAATTTTCAGTTTTCGTTGTTTGTATTTTTCCCCCTTCAACAATACACTGAAATATCCTTGGTGCTTCGACTCATTCTAAGGACAACCTTCTGGGCAATAAAAAGAAAAATCGTAAATAAAAAGAAGAAAAAATGCTGCACAGTAACGATGCCTTTCTCAGCAAATATTTGACTAAAAATTATCACCTGCAACAAATAAAACACTTATTCATCACCATCAAAACTAAGAAACTTTGAAAATGACAAAATATTGATATCAAGAAAACAAATGAAATAAAACAAAAACATGGTGAAAAAAATACTAAAAATATATTTTACCTCAATTACTTCCATTCCTGCTAAGCTCCCCTTTTCAGCTTTTCCTGACAATTCCAATTTCGCTTTAAGTTCACGCTTCTTATTAAGCATTTGCTGTGAATGTTGCCAGTTTTGGTAAATTTTAACACGTTCATGAAATACTTCCTAAAACAAAAATATACATCCTGAAAGATTAAAACTGAAAGCAAGAGAAGTGAGTACTGAAAAACCACACCAGTGGCACAGATATTCACTGTGATATTACTTATGAAAAAAAATATCAATTTAAGATTCTGCTAACATACAGCTGTATAATCTTATAGGTACCAGAAAATAGAATTTATAGTAATAACATTCTAAGGAGGAAGTAAAAGATTATAACAGTATGAAAGAGATAACATGAGTAATGACATACTGTGTATGTCCAGTGTAAAAAACCATGCAAGCCTGCACATGCACAGACAGACAGACAGACAGACAGACAGACAGAGACAGACAGACACAGACAGACAGAGACAGACAGACAGAGACAGACAGACAGACAGACAGACAGTACTGTCATGTATTCTTCCTTAATCCTTCCCACAATCCTTAAAATATTCAATTTTGTTACAAGTGGAATTCACATTTCCCAAGTTCAACAGGATGCAGTGTAGTGAATTGAACATAAAAATGTATTGGCAGATAAAATTCATGGAACAACTCCAATGATGACCTCCATAGCATTTCTACGAGTTAATATGGTTGTATCTACAGGGCTGAAAAATGGGCCAGAGAACCAACATGCTGTAGACAAATGGGCTGTCATGCTGCCAGAACATCTTGAAGCAGATGGGCAGTTAGTTACACAGAAACATATTATGATACATTGAAGAAGCCGACACAAATCAGGTGATCTAAACAGAGTCACCGGCCCACCTATACATTAATGTCATTCATGTTGACGTTCTACCTGGAATTCTCTATTGAAGGAAACATTCAGAAGTCTCTCAATGATTCCATTGAATATGGGATGTGTTGTAAGGGATGAAGACATGGAATGGATCATATCTGCGTCAAATTGAAGGACTGATGTAGAAGCAGAATTCCTGACCAAAATGTTTTTTCCTTCTCCTTGGAATGTTAGACACATTAGGCATTGCAAACAATATTACTGTTAAATCATATTATTGTATATTTTATTTCTAGCCATAACAAGTATTGTAATTCAACGTCAAGGTGTAATGACTGTCTTGATCAGGTTTTCCACCCAGTTTCCCTTGATCCTTTGAATAAATGCTGAGATTGACACTGCTTTGCTACTGGTAATAAATGTAATTTCACTTTCTGTGCAACGATTTTTGAGCTCTCTTTTGTTAGGCACAAGAGATAAGGGATATTTGTCAGTAGTATAATCAAATCAAATCTGAAGATCATGCAGTTCTATTACATAGGAATGAAATATTGAATTGTATACGTGACACTGCAATAAATATTAGTCTTATCTATCACATCTTACTTTGCCATTTTGGGAGGAGCCATCAATAGAGATGAAGTTATAGTAGCGATACGTGGATTTTATTTCCATCAGATTGCTTCAGAAATGTCCTAGAGAAAGTTGTTGGCTGGGCAATCCAACATCTAACATGGACCAGAAAAGGTTCCAGGGGGGAAACAGGACTAAAAAGGGTTTCACAGGGATGGGAAAATTTGTTAAGTTAAATAATGTTAAGCTCTTCCAGAAGTTTGTAAAAAAAATTTAAAAAAATAAATAAATAAAAAAAACACACACACACACACACACTCCAGGGATTTGGCAATGAGGTCCAGGTAAATACATATGATGTTCTGTGGTGATTGAAGGACTGCTTGGTGCGAGGTAAGTACTATTGCATTCAAGAAATTTTAGTCAATACCGTGCAAGAATTGGGATTACATCAACCAATCAGACGACAACTTACCCAAATGTTAGTGACAAGATTTGATTAAGTGCCATTTGATGAAATAGACCAAATTATTCACAAACGTAACCCAAATAACACATTCAAGAATAAGAAATATTTTAAATGTAAAATGTCAACTGCAATTTCATACAAACTTCAGGTTGGAGTACCAGAGCAGGAAGTAATAAAAATTTAAAGGGCACTAAAATGCAACATCGCTCAAGTCAAATCTCCCACATACATAAGGAACAAGGAGCATCATTCTTCAATTACCAATAAATTAAGGCATAACAACACAACAAATTGAATGCCTACATTACACATTACCAAAAAAAAGTTTTCTTCAAATTTACAACTTTAAAAGCTGTGTATTTAATAATTGCACAAGTCATTTTGCGTTTTTTATGTTAAGTTTTTCTTGTTTTCCTTATGTTTACATTTCTGTTTGAAGTAATACCTGAATAAAAGTTAATTATAGATTAGTATATTGTATTAAAATTACCTTGCATTATATTTATGAAATTTCATTGCTGAAATAGTCTAAGTGAATCCCACAAGTTGCTTTGGAGATGTCTCTTTGTGAGTCGTGAATTCATCTCAAGAATTTCTGAAGCTCTCATGGAATTACCTGTGATAATTTACCACACCATAGAAGTCGATCAAAATGTTTTGCCTTAGAACTGGTACTTCAGCTTGAGCCAAGAAGCATTTGACATGGCTCGTCCGATAGGAGTGTATGCTGATACATATACGCAAAATGTGGATGCTATTCTATAGGCTGAGCAACAACAGAGATGCGGACCCATAAACAATACTACCATAATCCTAAACAAGGAGGACGAGTGAATATTCAATCACAAGAAAATTTTGAGTCTACTCACCATGAACTAGCACTAAAAGTGGGAAAGTGGCTCAATGATGTCACACATCCGCTCTTCAGTTTACAAAATTTATGTAAAGCTTTTAAGTAAAGTTAAGCAATTAAGTAAAGCTTTTGTCAATTTCAAGACCAAGGAAAGTTGCACATTTGACAAAATGAATTGATGGCCCCAAGAAAAGGTGATAATGGAGGTGATGTATCCAGCAGAAATACAGGCAACTTTATTTTGAAGTAAAAAAATTCAATCAAGTTTTATCGTGCCATTTTTGCAAATTGTTAAGGACATGTTGCAATTGCCATTCTAAAATGTATATGCTCTCAGAAGAGAGACTTTGATAAACTCTGTTCCTCAGGAGTAAACATTGTTTTTTAGTGGGCACATGGAACACTGTCAACAGAGTAATGGAATCATAAGAGTTCAGCTTCACAATCATTCTGATATAATGAACCTCCAAAGCAAAATGTATAAACCAATTTAAGGAATATCAGATTTAGTTTTTTTCACAAAATGTTGAGAATGTAAAATAATAACAGGTGGATCATATTTTATTTCAGGAAGTAAAATTTTTGACACAATGAATAATGTGAAATAAGCCAGTAACGGCACATTTCTGGACCTAAATAGACTTTCTTCTTCCTATGAAGGGAGTCCAGTTATGAAATTTTGTCAACAATGTTTGATTAAATTCTGTAGAGTTGAAGAAAACTTTTAAGTATAATTTTATTAATGAGATGCAATACAATAAATCTTCAAAGGATTTTAGAAAAAGGAAATTTTTAATTTATGGCAGCTTTACTTGAAACGAAGTCATCAAGAAGACCAACATTATTGTGGTTTGTTAGTCATGTGAACCATTATGGTAATTGTTAACATTTTAGCATCACCATTTTGAGTTTCAGAGACAGAATGCTACCTCAATTTTATTTTTCATTTTAATAAGATCTTACCTTTATTGCACCAATTAATGCCACATAGTCCTTCAAAAGTTCACACAATACAGAGAAATCTGCATTCGCTTGATCATTATGCAAAGTTTCCACCTAAAACAAGTCGTAATAAACATTACCACAAATGCAGAAATAAATGCAACACAAAGATATATTTACAGAATTCGATACTACAAATACACAGTAAGAGGCAGTGGCAGAAACATAACATTCAATAATCTGCCAAGACAACATGAATTGCCAATGAATATGTACTAAACATTACATTTCACGATAACATATTCAAGGCAGAGAAAATAATGACCAGTCTGCAGCTATTATATAAGAACATAAATACAAATAATTAGAAATTATCCGCTGAGGAAATACATCCAGTGTGCGGGCCTGTTACATCAAACTACATTTTTTTTTACCAGTACAAAGATACAGTAATGATTATTCATAGAAAAAATAACAAAAAACTAAGCTATCACATAGCTTATATTATAATTATTATATTATATAAATGAGAAGGAATAAAGAACAAGAAATTCTAAAAACAGACACATGCATGCATGCATACATACATATACATATTTTAGTTATAAATAACATTTCCCTCCCCCCTCTATTCTCTCATCCAGATTGCATGAACAGGGACAAATCAATGTGTGCTTCGTGGTCTATCAAAAATTCGATTCTCTCTAGTCTTACTCGAAGTATGATTAATATATCTGATATCGTCACTCAACAAGTTATGTAGACTAAAACTAATATAATTATGATTTCATATAACAATTTATTTTTTAATTGTGTTGGGTGGTACTGTTAATGTCACATGTCCTGTGCAGGTCTTCAATTTTTTAAGTATTGCAAAGTTAAAAAAAAAAAAAAAAAAAAATAAATAAAATAAAAAAAGGAATTTTGCAAAAAATATTTTTTTGTGGAAATTATCGCATATTTATTAAAAAGCGGATGCATTTTATTTTTTTTATAAAGCATTTTAAAAATTCTGTTTTAAATACCCTGCAACAGATTAAAGGAGTCATAGGCACCACAGCACACAATTATACTGTACGTAGCAATTGCCCAGAACAGTGTTTAGCACATTATTTGCCGTAATTTTCAACAAAAATAAGACACAGTTTATAAAAGATAAAGATTAGATATCGTAATTTGTCAGTAGTACAAGAAATATGCTGTCTCCATTTCAAATTACAATCAATAATGATGCCCAAGTATTTGGTATATTCCACATTAGAACAATCACATGCACCAGTATCCCTACATAAGATTGAGTGTAGTTGCAACTAACTGTCAACATAACTACCAAAAGAGAGTCAAATAACTTGCACTCAACAATTTGCAACAGCATTTCAGTTTATCTTCAGCTAGGTTTTTAACTTCTGCCATGAGTTACCTTATATGAACAGACTAAGAATCATCAGCAAAAGAGATGATTTCACTTTCATCAGAACTTCAAATAGATCACTTATACACAATATGAAAAATAGATGGCCCAGGATGGTTCCTTAGGAATCCTAAAAGTTATGTCCAGGTCACAACTAATGGATTCATTGATTCCTACTGGTTTTCTACCAGTATGATAGCTTTCAATCAATTTAAGCATCAATTTAAGCCCTCTAAATCCATATAAGGAGAATGAGAAGGAGGACAAAGAGGCGGAGAAGGACAAAAAGAGGCAGAGAAGGACAAAAAGAGGCGGAGAAGGACAAAAAGAGGCGGAGAAGGACAAAAAGAGGCGGAGAAGGACAAAAAGAGGCGGAGAAGGACAAAAAGAATGAAACTGGGCAGGAGAAAAAGGAACAGAAGGAGATGAAGCAGAGTGTAAGGCCTCAGAGGGCCAATAATTTCTCATTAAGTAAGAGTATTAATATTCTGCATTTTGTTTCTGAATTTTAAGTAATTTCCCACAATTTACACCATTTTCTCTCAGACCCTTGAAAAGTGTAAAAGTGGGATTTTACTGTATATTGAATAGTGTTCACCGGAGTCAGTCCATATGAATTTCATCAGTTATAAAAATTGGGGATCTAAAATTCCTTCAAAAGGGTTTGGATTTTAAATCCAATATTATATTTGACTAAGCTGTAACACACAAACTATCCAGAATTTACAAGAGGAATTGAAAGTATCAAGAATACAAGTGCATGTCTACGAATGTATTTTTCATGCACTGGCATTCATTATACGTAGTGACAGGATAAAAGTTAAGTTCTTCACAAAACCTATCTAATTAAGAACATTTACCCTGCAATCACAGATTTACATGTAAACCACATAAAATATGATAAACCATTAAATTAGTCAATAAGGTTATTAAATCAACATAGTGCCTCAAGGATCAAGTCTTGGCCCTCTGTTACTTTTAATGCATGAAAATGATTTAAACACATCAACATTACAAATAATGCACTATGGTGATCAAAGAAGTATACTTATGAAAGTAACATGGATGAGTTAACCTGAAATCTCAAAACCATGAAAGCAAAAGTAATTCCATTGTTTTTAAAAAATCAACCACTACTGGTTTACAAAAACCAACACTCAATTTCTAGGAGTATGGTTGGATGAAAATTTAAATAAGAAAACTCATGTAAATAATTTATGCAAAAAACTCAATACTATGTTTTGCTATTAGAATCTTAAAATACAATGCAATGAAAGAAATTTTTAAAATATTGTATTTTCCTTATTTTTATCCTCTAGTAACTTAGCGAATTACATTTTGGAGCAATGCAACCTTGTCCAAAAAATGTTCATTATTCAGAAGAAGGTGATAAAGATACTATCCAATATTTCTGGCACTACAAGTTGTAAACTGTTCAACAAATCTCTACCTCTACCTCGCTTTTTATATAAGAAATTATAGTTCAAGTGAGACTTGCACTTCACAACTACAAGAAAAATTCAATAATATATAGCCACAATACAAGAAAGAAGTCCAAATTGTATTGAATACATCCCATCCCATAACTTCATATGCTAATTACAGACAACACTTCTCTATACAATCAACTTCCTCAGAATATTAAATACGGAAGATGCTTTAAAATAATACTTCACAATTTCCTGCAGGACAATTGCTTTTATTCTGCAAATAAACATCCGGCAGCAGAAGTTCTCCTTCAAAATTAAAATAGATTCTTTGAATTATTGTTTAGATAAAATATTTTATATTGTTTGTATTATTGTCTAATTATTGTAATTATCTCGTTCCAAGAGAACAGGAAACAACTGGATTAGTATCAACATTGTGTTGAATTCAAATAAAACTACAAAGTGTTTTAAACACCTAATAACGAATGGGAGATACCAAACAATCATGATGTAATACTCTTTCTGAAAGTGAAAGTATGCAAGTAAAATGTGATAACTGCTGAAGTTGTATTAGTTAGACTAAATGTATGATAAGGTTCAAAATAGTACATTAAACTATCAAGGACCTGATTAATCTAAAATAAGGTAAAATATACAGTGTATTCCTAGGATAAATATTTTTAAGTATCCAAGTGTCATCATGTAAGGAAGACCAGGGCTACTTGTGACAGGAGCAAATTTTGACATTGTATTTACTGACCGATCCAATACAGCTGAGCTCGTGATAATTTACATGCACATTACAAACCTTTGCATCCGTGTGCCCTTTTAAATTGCTGAGGGAACCTTTGCTTGATTTGCTTATTTACAAACGTTTTGTGTTTTACACGTAGTGAAGTAAATATCTATCGGAGTGTTCCAGTCAACATTAGCAATAATAAATCTGAGATATGTTCAACTACTCAGTATCATTGAAAAATTTACTTTTTAAGCTACAATTAAATGTTTTTTGGTTTATATGAATGGCAAAATAACCTGAAATTAAAACGGAAATTCATATTAATCAACATAAATTTCTCGGGGTTAGTTGTGAAAAGTTTTATGGGGCACGTGGTGACAGTGTTACTTCTTGCCCCAATACCATATGATAGCCATAATATTAATTTCAGAAAATGTAGTGAGGATTTAATGAAGCTTAAAATGATTTGGTCACGTTGAACAAAATTGAAGTGCCAGAAAATTGGATAACGAAGAAGTCTGCAAGTGTTGATCAGATGACCAAGTATCTACAGCGACACTAAAATTTCTCTGTGTTCCTGAAACTACTAATTTGAATTGAAACAAGTTTCAATAAACACAATGTTGGGATGTTCTTCAACCATTTAGCCTGTTTTTGAAAAATACGGTTTCAATGCCAAAGATATTTAGACAATAGATGAAACTGGGGTAGGAACAATACAAAAGAAATAGGTTGAGCTGCTAATGACAGACAAGGCTATTCACTATTGCTGTTTCTGTTGTAGAAGATGAGTTACCCACAACAATGGTTAGTGCTTTGGAAATCAGATTTCTTCCTAAAGCAGGACCTTGAGGAATAACCGTAAGAGAACAAAGACTTTGAAATCTGACCCTTTAACTAGCACTCCTTTTAAAGAAGGAATTATATTATATTAATAAGGAAGATTGAAAAAAAGATCTGTACTAAAAGAAGAAGGAAAAACAAAAAAGAAGTTGGCCAAAAAGCTATATTTCTGAGCAAAGATATAGATCTAATATGTCAAAAAACGACAAAAGACATATCCATGAGCTCTGAGGATGAGGAACAGTGTCTATGCCTTGCTCATTTAGAATCATTTGAAACATCAAAGGGTGCAGAGATGGGTGCAGTGTAAGAAATGGGCTCATGTAAACTGTACTAAAAAATGCAGTACGTTATGTTTATATTCACTGCAATTCAATGTTGAAAACAATGGAGATTAAATAAAAGTTAGCATATAAATGAAACAGCATTGTAAAGACTTTTGTTATATTTGAATATTACAATATTCTTGTCTATTTTACGTGTACTGCTACATAAAATTGTTTATATATCATTAAAACCATTATATATTTTAAATACAATTATAAGGAAATTTATTCAAAGAGCCATTTGTTCCATTTATTATAAGTTTCAAATTATGGTATACACACCTTCAAAAATTAAATAAATTAAAATTGCCACAACTAGCCCCGGTCTGCTCTATATACTACCTCGTATATTAATGTGTTTCGTATTTTTTTAAATTTCGTTACATGTGTTCATGTTATAAGTTAATGCCTCTAACTTATCAATGTGTGTGTAATATCTAAATAAATTTATTTACTGTATAATATTTTTGTAAGATATCTGACACTTATCAATGCACAAGTCCATTGGTTAAATAAATAAATACATAAATGTATAACATACTCATGTTATTTCATTGTCAATATGCAGAGTTAATTTTTATTTTTCCTTCCACAATTCATTAACCTCATTCAAATAATGGAAAGTGATAAAAGGTATTTTAATGTTGCAGTATCAATGGCTCCAGAGTGAATTTGAGTATGTATTCATCTTCATCATTACAAAGGTTCATTGACAACTTTTACCCCATACTTCCTCCGTGTTCAAAAACAATGAAAAATGTCATTTTTTATTAAGAAACTTGCAATTTCATTTTATTGCAAAAAAGTATTTATTCTTGCACTTACTTTGTCTTCTACTTCAGCCAGTTGGGCTAATGCTCGTGACAGTGATGTATGCTCCTCACAATTGCTCAGCGTTGCAGCACTTCTAGCGAAAGCAGCCGTAAACATGGCTAATTCTTTTCGGTGAAGAACAAGCGTTTCAACACTAGCATGTAATTTGCGAAGTTGAATATCAAGATTTTCAACTTGCTGAGTTTTCTCTTCAAACCACTGAAAGAAAGGTTTGAACATACTATTGTAAAATCAATAAAAATTTGTTGTGTAAAGGAAAATTGGCTAATTACAATGTATGAATAAAGCTTTTCTTAGCGTAAGTATTTTACATGTGTAGAAGGCATATACAAACACCATGTGAATACTAAATATATGCACAATACACTTCCTAGTAGCAATTGCCTAAAATAGGACTTTAAATGTAGGGGAAAAAAATGTGAACGAAAAGTGCATTAGCAGCAGTAGAGAAACAATTTTCCTTTTGTTAATTTTCAACATTTATAAAACAATAATGAATGATGATGACAATTACAATTATAAGCAATTATTATTATCATTATTATTATCATCATCATCATCATCTATTGCTATAAAAAGAATTATCCACTTTGGTTTTCTAACATCAAACTTTACAAAACCAAGAAAGATTCATAGAAAGATATATTATAGTAAGAGTTCCAATAACCCAAGGGCCACTATTAACAACAATGATCAGTTTCATTATGCAAAGGAAAAGTGTTCAAACAAGTGTTCAAATATTCCAGGGCCTCCTACTAACTACTATGAACATCAGTATGGCAATTTTTGGGGGATGAATTTTCTCTATATTACATAGTAAGGTTACAAGAAAGTAAAAAGTAATATTGTACTTATTTAGGTGAGAAAAAAGTGTACGGATATTACTTTCATACATAGTGTTTTTTAAACAATTTATGTTCTAATGATAAATGAAATTCCTAGTTCGAGTGATGAAAATACTAGTGCACTAACTTAATTTCTAATTCATTGGAGGTTTCTTTTTCAAAAAATTGTGAGACACCTGAAAGTTTAAGATACAAATGAAGTACTCCAAAATTATCATTCCCAGAATATAAAAATAAACTGTTGATTATTTTAATGTGCATGGTACAATTATAAGGTTATATTATTTATCATTTTTGAATTGTAGACGTAACTTGATAATAGAGGTATTATGGTTTTGTTTTTGAATAGTTTGAACATTTTGGCTCATTTTGTTTCCTCAGGAGAGGGGCCTCATCTCCCATAAGGAGGAGCAATTATTCAAAGGTAAGCTATAATATGCTTTAAAAAAATTGAAATAGACATGCCCAATCCATTGAAAACATTAAAAAATTCTTTGGAAACCATCACAACATACTCATCCTCTTATATAGTAGACTCACTAATGAAATCTTGACATCGTCCTAAACCCTACAATGGATAGAAAAATACATCATGGATTCTTTGCTACTATATGGTCAGGACGCTTTCAGGATGAACTACAAGATTGGAAGCAAAAATTCTGAGTTTAAAAAAGTGTATGATACTTACAGGATCACTTTCTTCCATTTTGTATGTGATTTTGTTCACAGTTTCACCCACTTTATTCAAGAACCGCATCATTCCAGCTCCACTGAGTGCAGATGTATTTGTTGCTTTTGGTAACTCCATATCTAAAATAAAATAATTATATCAAAATGTGTGAATTGTAAGGAAGTTTATTCAGCAATTCAGCAACCTTATTCATACAGAATCCCATCAATAAATAGGGAAACTAGTCCAAGTACATGATTCTATATGTATAAATTTCTTATTGAAAACTGAAATAACTGTTGCCATTACTGCAAATGGTGAGTTATTTTCAGTCTCTTAACAATGAATCGTATAGCTACTTGAAAATTTACCTCAAAAACCTTGTCATTGAAATTTAAGCATTCCAAAACTAAATGTATTCGAGTTGTGAAGAGTACCTGAGTAACTAATATATATGGTGAAAGAAAATTGAATGGCAAAACTTCACGAACAGTTTCTTCATACAGAGAGAAGAGAGGCAGTCCGCTATAATATAGGTCTGGAAATGTACCCACAGCACTTCTATGGTTCATGAATTTGTTTTTGAGGATGTGTATCCAAATGTTTATTATTTATTTTAACATTTTCAAGCATAAAGTGTAATAAATCTCAATTATGCATATTACGTAGGATATCGCTGTGATTTGTGAGGTAACATAAATGATTCCAGATAGATATTAGAGGATACAGATTCTTCAACCGAAGAAATATAATTTTTATAGGAAAGCTTTTGCACATACTTTGGCTCTGATGGCAAAAAAAAAATCTTAAAGAGTCGGCAGATTTTGATGATTTATATTCTTTATGTAACCTTTTCTTTTTCCAGATGAGATATTAATAATATAAATATGTCAAAGCCACACATGATTAGCTAAATAATGTACATTATCCTGTAATTCGTGAAACCCATTGGATATACTTCTGTAAAAATAAATAAACAATAAATTACTTAACAACCAAAAAATTGTACAACAATGAACATGATAAGACATCTATCAATAGTTTTTTTCACAGGTGAGCAAACCCTGAAGAACTATGCATATTGGAGATTAGAAAAGTACAAAAAAATTTGTCGAGCAGGATTGAACATCAGAGCGGAAATCCAATTTTGTCAAAGTGGAGCCCCCATTTGATGTAGGAGGGCAAAAGGTTTATACTGATCTTTGCATCACATCAGACCCATAGATATGTTCATAACCGACTGATAATTAGTAGTGCTTGATTTAATTTCTAGATAAGTCAGTACCCTCTAACTGCACACGACACAAAGACTGAATGTTATTTTAACAAGTGAACTCATTGCAGACTGAATGCTGAAAACCGTGCACAAACATCTTAGTGTCCCCAAGTTCCCAAATGGTGGGGATTGGACTCGAGGTTTTGATGAATTATTTCCTGCCAGCACTCATCAAGATGCATTTACAGTGACGCTGAAAGAAGATACTGTAATTACCCGAATATAAGACAAGGTTTTTTCCAAAATATCTTAGTCTAAAAGCGCAGGGTCATCTTGTATTCCCAGATTAAAGATAGTCTCCTAGGATTTAAGTTTTTACATTGCCTCTTCAAAATTAGGGGGTCGTCTTTTTGGGTAAATACGGTACATATTCTTCATGATTCCTGCCAACTGAGGCACCATTACTCTTAAGCACCGAGTATAAGCAAAGATACAACTGATTTTAAAGACTTTTGAATTTGTCATGGCAAGGAGGGTGCGGAGAGAATGAATTCCACCTACACCATTTAAAACTAGTTACATCCATGTTTCAGAAAAAGAAATTCATCCAATATGGATGACAATTGTGGCAGTTCTGATCATTTGAATATAGCCTTTTTAAAAATATTTAGGTGGTCTGAATTTTGCCTAGTATATCACATTTGTGCATTAATATTAGCATAATTGTGAATTAACATGACAAGAGATTGTTAGGTTTATGAAAATAAATAATAATACCTGCTTCCAAAAATTCTCTAAAATCAGGATCAACCTTCAGAACTGGATGCGATGCAGTACGATTTAGATATCGTTCAAGAGATGCACGACGCTTCTCCACAAAATCTGCAGAGGATCCTTGTTCAGCTTGATTAGACATTTTAATTTTAGTCATACCTAAAAAAACAAAAAGTTTCAAAAACAAAATTAATATTTATATTAAGTTCTAGGATCAAACCATTTAATTTTTATATCATATAAACAAAAAACAAAACAAAAAATATATATAAAAAATAAAAAACACAAAATAAAAAATAATAAATATATATTTAAAACCCTCTAGCTTACTGTTGTTTCTACCAATACATTACCGATATTGAAGGTAAAGGGTTTAAAATGGTAAAATGTTTCCCACTAATCTTTCAGAAGAACATTGTCCGAGAAAACAATAGATGGACAGAATGAAGGACAAAGTAAACATTACAAATGGATTAAAAAGAAAATTTGGTTTCAAGGGGAGGAATAGCTGAGAAACAGCAATTACTTGTCAGGTATTTGGTCCATTAATTGAGTTTCGATGTGCATGTAAACTATGGTTATTTGCGACCATTTTAAATGTTTCGTAAAAGTATTTTGAATGAGCGTAAAAAAAGGATAATTATCAACACAATAAAAATCTATAAAAAAAAATAAAAATGCATGCTCATAACAATAGATATAGAACAGTTAAATTCTTCCTCCTTTGATCCATTTGCACAGCTTGTTTCACTTGCCTATGGCTTAGGATTAGGACTCCACTATTTTGCCTTTCTTCTGGCATTCACATGACATAAGCTAGCAAGCAAAACTATGGATAGCCTATCAAAGAAGAGAAAGTGCTATTTTGAGCTTTCATTCAAAATGGGTGAATCAGGCTTACCCTTCATCATCCGTATTATGCTGTATGGAGGTAGTCGTTTGGTGGCTAGCATACAGCAGAAAACCGATTATGGCTAAGCCATCGAAAGCTGCTATTGTAATAAACAATAATGTTGGCAATAACGACTCGTATAATTATTTCAAGATGTTTCTTAACCCATCTTGAGCATTGAGCATATCTGAGTAACCCTCTGTTAAGTTTTTGTCTCGTCATATTGCAATCTGTCTGTGCCTTTTATTCTTTCGGCAAGGGGGTTAGCGCAATTAGGAACCAGTGTTCCCAGTTGGTCACATGTCCAGGAATCCATAGAGTGAGTTTCCATGACTTCACAGAGAGTACTTAATAAATTCAGCTCATGATGCCAATGGATATGATTGTCAACTAGGCTAATTTGCAAACCACATCCTTATGAGATTCATGAAAATCATCAATGCATTTGTACAAACACATCTAGGTTCAGAAAAACACTGAAACAGTAAGGTCTTCAACTCTTATCAGGGTGACCGCTGGTAACCCGAATTTATTTTCTCTGTGTTTTTCCTGACTTATTATCATTTACCTCTGTTACATGTACCATTGCATTATTTATATGATGGCACTATATTATAATTTCAAATATATAGAGAATTCTTGTAGTATTTCACATATATATTTATAATATTTTCAAGCAAATATCAGCACAAATTTGAAAATTATAAATGCTTTTCATACAGGTAAATCATGTCCCAAAAATAGGACGTAATTCACGGAAATTAATTCCCAAGTCATTGTTGCATTCCAATCTGATATTCCCTGAAGGCTAGCAATTTTTGTTTCAAATATTTCAAATAGGTATAAATAATTTCTAAAAGATTAATTTGTAAACGAATAACAAAAGCTTGAATGTAAGAAACACACAACGAAATAATATACAAATTCGAACTCGCAAAGTATCCAACTGCCTGGAATTATAATTACAAAGTGCACTAAATTCAGAGTGAGCGACTATGTTTGTCTTCAAATTACACAAAAAATTCTCCTATTTTCAAATAGTTCAACACAAACGTCTTTGAAGATCTGTTTTTGATGAACACATTTCAATAAGAAAAAAATCTTCACAATGGTAATTGTAGGATGACGCCAAACAATTTTTAATTTTTTAAATTTTTGAACAAAATCTGGGTTTGTAGCGAACATGAGACCTGCACCATTCTCTTAAACATCCTTTACGCTGTCAAAGATCTCAATTTAATAAAAAAAATGTGTGTGTTTTTTTTAGAAAAAATGGTGTTAAGAAAATAAAAATTGCCATTGTTTTACACAAAGTACATTGATGTTTTTGAAAAATTGAATGTGACATTATTTTTAGATCTGTTTTTCATGAACAGATTTCATTAAGAAACTAGTAGTGCTACAGCATGGCACAGACTTTCCTCTATTAGTTTTCTATTTCCATTGGTCTCAGCTAGCTATTCTGACTTGCCACATACTCTTGTGAACTGCCATCTATCGCCGTCCAAGGTACATTTTTTCTTAATTTTTTGGCTTCCTAATAGTAGAATTGAATTATTACTTTAAAAATATTAAAGAACAGTAAAACCTTGTCCTAAATGACAATTTTCATTGGAAAATTTGGAGGTGTTTTTAGAAAAATGGCATTGAAGAGCTACTGTAAATTTTAAACTAGAACCTCTTCACAGAGAACTTAGGTTTTCAAAACTAGGTTTTGAAAAACTTCATATGACATAATTTCAAGCACTTCCAGTCACAAATGCAATAGTGATTACAAATCGCTGGAAATGTGCATGTAAAAAGGCATGAGAGATCATGCAAAAAAACATTAATTCTACGTCATCTTAAACAGTGCAATTAGCACAATCTGTTGGAAATCTTTGAAAAAAATTTGGAGCCGTTTTGAGAAAATTGTGTTTGAAAGTTTCTGAAAATGCAGAATTTTGAGCTCATTTTCATGGAAAACTGTTGAGCTTTCGGGAAACTGTATCTGGCATTATTTAAAGCACATGTACTCAAAGTTGGAAGTCAATAGCAGAGTTGACCTGGTTTTGCAACTGTTAGTAAGCAGGAAATAAAGTAGGATTGTTCCAGTCCTTCACATGTCTAATTCAAGATTAAACACCTGAAAGCAATGAAGAAGTAATCACAGACTATCCATGCTTTGTTGTGTAAGACTCTCTTCCTGTTGCAAATGGGGATTTCTAAGTCAGTCATTGTGGAGATAGTAGTTTTGATGTTCTTCCAGAGGTCAAGAGTAGTAGGGATGGGGAAAGAAGGTGAGCAAGATTGTGGGGAGAGTGAGGTGTTAATACAGGCTGCTGTGAAAAATTCTGAAAGGATGTTGTACTTTGTGTGGGTTGGACAAGAATGGCAGGTAGATGGTTATGAGAAAGGGGTGTAGTCTGATTTAACTAAAAGTGAAAGGTGGAGGACTTCCTTAACTAAATTATCAATGTTGGTGAGGATCAGATCAAGTAGAGATGTCTCTCGAGTTCCTCAGTTACAAGTTCGTTCAGTAATCAATTGCTGGAGATTGGTGGAGCAATATAAATCTACTAACTCTTTTTCATGTGAAGACAGTACAGAAGGGCAAGTAATTGCAGTTAACATTCAGGCAATTGAAATTCCCAAGAATTAAAAAGATTAAACTCCTCAGGTTGTTGCAACCGTTTAGTACAGTGCTGACAAAAAGGTTATCATGGTTTACCTTGCAGAGAAAAATGCCAGTTCTCCACCCCTCTTATGAGCAGCCTTTTCGAAAGCCCTCGTAGCCAACAGGAAGAGAGTGAAGAAGAGGGGGGGGGCAAGAAATTGCATTCAAACTAATGAAACATCTAAATAGAGAAGAGAGAAATACTGCGAAACTTCACGTAATACCAACATCGGACTGGATCAACCACTGTGGTACAATCCATAAAATTGTGGAAGGAAATTGCTGATAAGGTGCAATCGCTAGGAGTAGAGTATATTGAATCGAATAAATGAAAGATAGCCCTTAAAAAAATGAAAAATCAAAAATCTTCAGGTTTGGATGGAATAAATTGTGAAATGGAGGTATCCTTTTAGAATTCAGAATACTTCATCTTTTCAACATGTGTTGGGAAAGTTATGAAATATCAAATGAATGGAAAATAGCAAAGATCATTTCGACATTTAAGGAAGGAGAAAGAGGAAATACATCCAACTACAGAGGTATCAGTATTCTGAATTCAGCCTACAAGCTTTGCAGTAAAATACACAACAAAAGGTTTCGAAATATCTCTGATACAATTTTAACACAACAAGAAGCAGGCTTCTGCAATGGAAGATCCTGCACAGATGTTTTCACTTTAAAACAAATAATACAAAAGAGGAGAAAATTTAACCTAGTGTTTGTGGACTTCGAGAAATCATTTCATAGGATCTGAAGAAGCTGTGATATATATAGGATTCCCTAAACACTTCATCCAGGTCTCAAAAAGTCTGTATAATAACACCAGAATTAGAATCGATGCTGGCAAAGTATTGACATCTGAAATACAGACAAATCAAGAAGTACAACAAGGATGTAGTAGGTCACCACCTCTATTCAACATCTATATAGATTACATGATAAGAGAACGAAAAAGAGATCGAACACCACCAGGAACTAAAATCTGAGCAAACAGATATATTAACAACTTACTTTTCCTTGATCAAATAATCATATAGAACAGCAAGGATCAATTGCAAATGGCATTACAAAGGCTCAACGAACTGGCATTACACAGGCTCAATGAGCTAAGTCAAACCTATAACCTTAGAATATCTTTAACAAAAAACAAAACAATTGCCTTTTCAGGCATTTATCCAATAAGAACAAAAATAGTCATAAATGACAAACCAATAGAACAAGTCTGTATCATTTGTGTCTCATTTCCCGTATTTGGGCTGAGAAATTTCATGAAGAAGACCAAAATATTAAAAAAAAAAATTAATATATATCAACAAATATGTGGCACAATTAGCAAAACTCTAAAAACAAGAACACGAAAATAAACACAATTAAAATTTTACAAGGTCATGGCAGCTCCCACTTTACTATATGGTGTGGAATCCTGGACTCTCAGGAATAACGATATGAAACAGTTTACAAGCCTCTGAAATGAAATTTCTTAGATCGGTGAAAGGCTGCACCAGAGAAGACAAAATCCGAAATGAAGCAATCGGGAATGAACTAGGGATGCAATCAATAACTAAAATGGCGATCCACCAGAAAGGAATCCAAAACAAGCTATGGAATATAATCCATATGGCAAAAGAAGTGTGGGAAGACAGGAAGAGATGGTGAGATCGAACAGGCCTCAGGCCTAATCCTGGCAAGACAGAAGAAGATGATTTAGAAACATCTTGGAAGAACACAGTAAGCTTAGGGAGAACTGAGCCAGCTCTCACCATCATGTTTGATTAAAAATTGAGGTTAAGACTAGGTGGTCCACCATGGCACTAGGAATACATTTATATTATTCAATATATTCATAGCTCCGTGTGGTTCAAACCAAATAATCCATAATGTGAGATTGGAAATAATCATCCACAACAATGAGTGTTGTGGACGATTATTTCCTATTTCTCATTATGGATTACCACAAGATATCTGCTACCACCATGGAATCTATAAAATAATCTCTCAGATGTTTCATGATTTTTGTGTCATCAAGTGTCTTGTGCTGGAGAGGCTAGCATGGGGGAAAGCACCACAACACAACCAATATTGTCCATTGCCACACTCAACTAGATCAAGCAATTAATTGTGAGCATTAGTTTTGTTGTTTATGCTAATTAAATGTGCTCCTTGGAACTACTTGATTTACATAAATAACATTTAAAAATATTATTGTAGCCCTGATGAAGACTTGACATTTAAGGACTTTTTTATTCAATGTAAAGTTTGTTTTCTTATTTAGGACTAACCCTGAAGAACAAAGAATGTGTTAAAAAATGTGAACTTTTGAACAATTTTCCAAATTTTGGAGATTTAAGGAAAATTTTATCTAAAGCTATAAAAAACTAAAAAAATCTAAGTTATTCAGCAGACATTGCTCCTCTTGAGTAAAAAAAGAAGCAAAAAATTGACGTTTTTCACATAAATTATTCCCCAAAATTAAAACCTCCATTTCAAATTGCAAGGTCTGAAGACAGGGCAGATTGATCAGGGAATATGCATTTCGGAGAAAATCCCTTGCATGATTTTCACACTAGTGTGATTACTTGTATGATTTCAGCATTCACAAAGACATGGATTGTCTGGCATTCACACTGGCTGGCAGAGAGAAAGCAGCTTTCAAAAAACTGCTCTTTTAGTACCGGGGGTCCCAGGAAAGTGTCAAGTGACATCTGAACATTTATTTTTTGCAACTAAGTTTCTCTACACAAGTATATGAGAGAGAGGATAATGTATTAACTGAATATCTGATTTCTTATAAAAAATACTTTACCAGTATCTTTTGGAAGATGTATGACTAAAAATTTAAATTACATACAAATTATTAGCATAAACTATTGTTGCATAATAGCTGAATATATACTGAATCTTACCCACAACACTTTTCTCAGGAGCAGGAGGAATGATGCGTCCAGTACGCAAATATTTTTCAGAGAGTTTGTCATGAAGTCCAAGAAAATCGCTGAACCTTCTCATGACAGTGAAGTTACGATTGTGAAATAAAGGCATATTAGTGTACGTTACTATTTTATATGCTACATAAGCACCCATTCCTTCACCAACTTTTTGCCATTCTGTTACAGAGACATCCAAAAACTGATCTTCTCTCTCCTTTTCCATCTGAAAATAAGGACACACTGAAAAACTTAAGAACAAACAACGGATTTGAAATAAAAAAATGTTAATTTGAAAAAACAATTTAAAAATAAAATTACCTCCTCTAAAGAACTGGTTTTTACCACAGGCGCTGATACTTCCGAAGGTAAATTCTCAACAGACGGACTCTCCTTCAAAATAAGCAAATGTAACAATAGTTTATGCTTAGAGTTATTTTCGTATTTTTGCTTTCAAAGCAAGTTACAATTTTTAAAGTCCTTTATTTATAAGAGAATTAACCACTTAACTTTTTGCATAGCAATAATGGAATTGTGAATTCATTTAGAGTAGGAATAATCGTGTAAGTTATCAAACACGATTAAAAAGCATGTAATTTATCTCAAAAATAGGATTATGCAATACAATAAAAATATAACCCACAAAATTACTTCTGGTTCTGCCTCTACATTAAATTAATTAAACTTTTTTGACTGTGGGTTTCAAATTCAATTACAATCAGGAATAAACTTGTTGAAAGGCATAAGACAGTGGTGAAAACTAGATTTGCAACAAAATAGCATGGATAATTTCATATCTGCAATATGTACATGAAAGTTCAAATAACAATACTGCAGCTTATTCTACAAGGTCAGTTATCTCTATAGCAAATATGTTTTCACCACACTGCTACAATGACAGCACATTTCCACACATCTAACACCCACATCAAAAACGAAGATAATCTTAATACTAAGTCTGTACAATAGTCTATCAAAGTTACATCAATCACTGGCAGTTCGTAACACCATTTCCAGGTGACTGGAGTGATGATCCACAAAATTCAGATACTCTAGCAAAACCCTATAACAATATCAATTGAATTTCAGCATAAAAGTTAAACTGTCAAAGTGTGTTTCTTTCTTACCATATAGTTACAGATGTGTGAAAATAAGCTGATTAACACTAAGTTGTATAAATTACAAATTGCATGTGCATTCAATCATTAATTCTTCATTATTCTTTTTGGTATATTATTTACAAAAGTGCCGAAGGGAATATCAGTGCAGCAATATTGTTCTATGAGCACGTTCTTCTCCTCACACCAACTAGAATGCGATTTGCAGGTGAACTGCGAACCGTAATGGTCATGTTCAACAGAACATCTCAAAACACTAACAAGGCGAGTGTGCATGAAAAATCGACCAATGGGTTGGTATTCAGAACGTCATGCCAAGTGTAACAAACTATGTTATATCTGCAATAGAAGTAAATACGTTGAAGAAATCCAATGTAAAATATTTAGAATTGTTTTATATTAATCAATTAAATAAGCATTTTCTGTTTCATTATACATGCCCAGAAAGCGTTTCTACAATGATAATTCCATCATTCCTGAGTTCGCTCGACTCCACTAGCTCAGTTGCATCATCATAATAGGTTACCCTCAAAAAAGGTTCAAAGAAAGCAATGTCTAGAAAAAAAGGCTGATTCTCTTGCATAAAATTGTGTCCAATATAAAAAAAGGAATTAAATAGTTTCAAAACAAAGAGAAAAGAAAAAGAGATACAATGAAAAAAGGGAACAAGCAACAGTCAAATAACTTCCATCCTGACACAGTGACAAGCACAGAAACTCTTATTGTGCACGAGCTGGTTAACTATACAATGATCAATGAGGTTACTCCATGGCAACAACACGGTTTTGTACCTGGCAGATCCACAACCACCAACCTGCTTGAGTGTTTTGAATGACTGGTCTAGGGCGATTTACGAACTTCATCTACCTGGACTATGCCTTCAATAAGGTTCCACATAGAATATTGCCATGCAAGCTGTGGGCTATAGGGATAAGAGGAAGATTACTTCATTGGATTGGAGATTATCTGACTGGCAGAACTCAAGTTATTGTTAGAAGCACACTCTCTTCGCCGAGACCTGTTACAAATGGTGTTTCTCAGGGCTCCATTCTGGGACTCGTTTTGTTTCTTTTATACACGGTAGACCTTGGAAAACACTTGAGATCAAAGAGGAATAATTACGCCGATCATACTAAGTTGTATGGAAACCAGACATTGCAACAAGCAAAACTTTCAAGTAGAATTGCAAAGGATAGAGGAGTGGTCCGATTTGTGGTTACTCCCATTGAATAGCTACAAACGCATAGTCCTTCATTACAGCAAAAACCACCACAGAAATTTTGATTGGTGGACATTCAATACAACCAGTGACCACATAGGTTCACCTAGGCATGGTTGTAACCCAAGATCTCAAATGGGACAGATGGCAAGAGAGCAAATTCAGCACTGTACCTGATAAGGAGAGTGTTTCCCAAGAGTTTGGCAGAGATGAAGAAACTGTATGCAACATTCAACCAATTTTGGAATTTGCCAGTTCAGAATGGTTATTGACAAGACATTGAGAGGCCTTGGAGAAAGTGCAGAGACGAATGACGAAGGGCGCTATCAATCTTCGGAACAGATCATAAGAGGAGAGATGTCGGGCAGTCGACCTGCCAACTCTGGAGCAAAGGAGGCAACAAAGAGATCTAATTGAAACATTTAAGGTTATGAATGGAGAATATTAATAAAAACAAACAGGTAGATGTAACTTATATGAAGCAATGAAGTCTTTCAATACAAAAGTTACAATTTATGTCATTGCACATACATGGGAAAAAATGAAAGAAAGTAATGGATGATCCTCAAATCATCAATTATGTAGAAAAACTATTTACAGTAAATTTTAAAAGCAAATAAATGCAGCAACATTTACAGAACTATGGCATGACACAACCAGTCTACATGGATAAGTGGATATTGGGAGGCAGATATGACAGCGACATCACCAACAAGACTCTTGACAATCGGATCATAACTGCAGCATTTCAGTCACCTCAAAAAAGGCTAATTTCAAAATATATGATGAAAGATTGATAGTAACTACAAACAAATATATCAATACAAATTCTAGCCCTGCTCATTTACAAGAAAATGTGATACCACAAAAAAACCATAATTTTCACTTTCACACCTTACTATGCAAGTAGTAGAGAGAAAGTATTGTAACTTTGCAACGGAAATCTGTGATTTTGACTGAAACTTGTTGACAGGCCATGGTAACAAAAAAGTAGATAAATCTTGTTCCTAATTGTAGAAAATTAATTTCTCTATTGTGTAGTCAGGAATCCATATTTTGGGGGTCCTTGATACCAAAAAATCGATTAATGGTAAATCTTCAGAACACGGTCAATGCCAGTGCCTAGAACATTCAGACAATTTTCTCCAAAATTGAGATTTCCTGATCAATTTAAAGGAACTTGAGGCCATGCGAGTTTGAAACGGATATTTCAGTTTTTGGAGGTACATTATAATTATAGCCTCAACATCTCCTAAATTCAATAAAAAATAACTCTAAACTTTTCATTAAACTTTGACCCCCATATAGCGCAAGAAAATGCTTAAAAGAAAGGTGTAGTTCTTATCTTTTAAATCCCTGATTTTTTCAAATGTTGCAAAAGTACAATTTTTTTTTTCGGTGCCTTCCTATAGCTACAACATTGGAAATGGAAATTTTTCCTTAATGAAGTTGTTGTTTAAAGTCCCCTAGAAATAAAGTCAAATAGAATTTTTAAAAAATGTGAGTAATTTTCCGCATAATTTTGTGAGAAATATACGCAATTTTTTAACAGTTATTTTCTAAAAAAAAACAGCTCCACATTTTTCCCTCTAATGTAGCAAAGGGCAGGAAAAATAACGGACACTGCTCCCATTTTGGGCGAAATCTAATTTTGAAAACTGCAAAAAATTAACATAACAAAATTACAATATTGAGGATATAATTTTTTTTTAAAGCGTTAAAAAATATTTAAACATCGGTAGTTTTCACATAATTTCTTGAAGTTATTGCAAATTATAATTTTTCTCAAATAACGGCTCCAAATATTTCCATAATTTTCCCTCTAGGTTAGAGTAAAGGATACTTAAAAAAAACGGGGCAGGTCTAACTTTTGTTTAACTTTCTGAATTTTCAAAATTGAGAAAGTAAGAAATAATGTGAGAAAATGTGTGCTGCAGTAGCACCACTTAGTTCCTGGCTACAATGAAAATGCCTTAAAAAAACAAACATTATATTCAAGCCTCGCTATATTAAGACAAAATCACTAGTACCAAGCGATTTCTTAAAATACAAAGATAAAAAGGTTTTAACAACTCTCTTATGGACCTGCAAGGAGCAAATGGGAAGCATACATTATGCAATCTTCTGTAGACCATGTTACAATAGCGATGAAATTAATAAATATTTAACAATATTGACAAATTTACTAATACGCACTTGTAAATACAATTTAGGTGATGTGGAAACGTTGTCAAATGCATTTGGCAATTCATTTCCATCTAGCCCAACTTGATCCTGTAACAAAATAAGATACATTACAAAACTATCATGTAGTATTGATTAAAAACTACAAATATTTACCCAATCAAATAAATCAAAACCGTAACAAATAATATCATTGCTTCAAACTCCTTCATAAATTATTAATTTTGTACAGTCTAAATGGTTGAATATGCCACATACGTTACTTTCTTTACATTAAACTAAGTCTTCACATTTAACTAATTTGAGTTAGTCCACATTTAACATTTTGAATAGTCCACATTCCTGTGCCCAGAACATACATTTAATAAAATTAAATACCATGGCTGTAGAATACAAACATTGGTTCTCTGGAGGTACATCTAAGGAAGAAAATAATTGGGAGCTTGTGTTTTTGCAGTTGCATTTGCAATAAAACAAAGTAAATAAATAAATAAATAAACAAACATTTGAAAACATTTGGGTTAGGAAGTCAAACCAACATCTGAATATACATTTGAAATTATCCTGTCCCTGCACAACTATCAATTGAATGAAGTTTTTAATAGTTATCAATTTAACAATGTCATGTTCATCAAATTAGAGAAACCTTCCACTACACAGGATTTAAAATTTAGAAATTCAAACAAACTGCAACCCCACCCAAATTCACATGACAAAAGATAATAAGATTTGTATATGTCAAGGAATGTTATCAAGTTGACCCTATCAAAAACAGTACAATAAATAATTAACTCAAAAATGTAATTCTAATGACAGCGAGATCATTACCTCTACAGCTGAGCTGAACAGATCTTCGGCATCGTCCTGTTTATCGATATCTACTTCAAAAAGAGGAGGAGGTTCTCTTCCATCAGCCATGTTCAAATAATTTTTCAATTCTCCCTTTTATTTTTCTGAAACACATCCAGGAAAACAAAATTCATAATTGTGTACGAACAAAAAACATTCCTTGTACCATCTTACGAACAACGTACATTAACGGCGTTGCCACAGAATACGTCAACAAATTTGCCACCCGATCTGCCACAACCAGCTGACTTCACCCCGCTTCTCCCTCTCGTCCTATCCTGCGCCCGCCAGTGTCAGTCTCTACTTCGGAGATCACACGCCTACGCCGCGTGGCTACGAAGATAACGTAAAAGGAACTAACAAAAAAAGCCACTCTGAAACGAAATATTCGCACGTTTGCCGACACCGCTTGGGGCGCTAGAAGCGATATATTTTCCTTCGGCACAATTTTGGCGGGAAAGTGTTACGTGGTATGATCAAATACTAAAGTGTGTCTTGGAGCATTAGTAAGTGCCTGCTTGTGTTGTTAGTCCAGTACCAATAGTATATGGAGCAGAAAAAAATGCCGACATTTTTTTCTCATTTTATGGATCTGTAAGTTTTTTTTGGAATGCTTAATTTGAGGTTTGCAACTTCAAAAAATGTCGACTTCATGAAGTAAATTTGCAAAAATAAAAAATAGCTCTTTTTCTTTCACATTTTGTATGGAATAAGGTCATTTAACATCACCTAAAATGGGATCAACAGCAGTTTCTATATCGTCCTTTGATTCGAGGAGAAAATTTTAAGAATATAATTGGAGCCGTTTTTCGAGAAAATTAAAGTTTAAAGATGCCTACAATTCACGTTACATTACTCGAAAACTAATCACATTTTTGAAAAATTGTGCTTGACCATATTTCCAAATCTATCTTTTAAGAGATTTAATTAAAGAAAAAATATACATCTGCAGTGCTGTAGTTGTGGAAAGTCACAGAGAAATTTTTGAACTTTTGCCATTTTCAAAAAATTGGGGATTTTAACGAAAATGGAACTCGCGGCGCTAGAGTTGGTCACACTTGTTTCGCTGTCAATAGATTTTTTTTTTTGGTATCAAAGAGCTGCAAAACATGGATTCTGACTACACAACGTGTTCGAGGAAAAAATATATATTTAGAAACAAGATTTACCCACTTTGTCTTTACCAGGGGTCGAGAATAAGATTTTTTCTGTTGAAAAATCACCAATTTCCGACGTGCAACATACAATATGTGTACATTCTCGTACGAAGTATGGCGAAAAATGAAAAGGTTCATTTCTCAAATTACTAAAATTCTGAGTAATAACAACGAATACAAAATTACACAACAATTACAAACACTAGTAAATTAAAAATTTATATTTCAAAGCATTTAAGTATCATCAGAAGTCCAGTGTCTGTGTTATTCTGCCTGTCTTGAATGGTCTTCTCAATGCTTGAATTACTACATTTACAATGCCTCTGTAGTGTTTCCCATTCTTAGATTGATTTATTTAGTCAAAAAACCGTAAAACCTGTATGTGACGTATGGGGGGAAGAACAGAAGTAGGGGGGTTCTTCTGTCAGACTTAATGACCAGTCTTGGTGACTGACTACATACTTTTCCATCCCCACTACAGCATTGTGCTAGGAGGCTTCAATTTGTCTGAGGCCTCATCTTCCTTCCTTCCTTGCGTGGCACATAATGTACATCGGCTCGAGGGTGAGAGACCTAATGCGTAGTAAGAAGTTTTGTGTGTCTTTCGATACATGATTCGAATTCCATTTTCAGTCTACTAGACTGAAACTGTACTCAGCTACAGCCACCGCCAAACTACACTTTTTTTTATTAGCCAACTGCACATACCATTACGCAAGGGCCTCCTACTTGAGCTCACTTCTTTAATGAAGTGATAGGATGATGAGGAGGGGTGAAAGGACGATCACAATTACATTGATGCCCGAGGCGGGATTCGAACTCGCGATCCTTTAATCCGAGATCGTCACGGCACTACTGCTTTAGCGATCTCGGCTACCCGGAATCGCCAAACTACTTATTAGAGATATTTTATTTTAAGTTCAGAGCGGGCTGCAGGACAAGTCTCACTCTTCTGCAATAATCCATGCAAATCATCTTTCATTACGTCCTTCATTTTTTGTTATTGTTATTATTATTATTATTATTATTATTATTATTATTATTATTATTATTATTATTATTTTACAATTATTTTCTCGGTATTCACCGGGTTTTTATTTGCCTTTATTTCGGGTTAATAACCAAGACACAGGTCAATTAATTTTCGTCGCGGTCCTGGAATTTGAAAATGATATTTTAATTTTTTGGTGTACTTTATATGAAGCACTTGGGGCTATTTTGAAATAATTTGATTGATTTTTTAAAAAAATATTTTTTTAAAAAGGCTCCAAATTTTCAATGTTTTTATTAGATACTGTGGAGGACGTTTAAGAGAATGGTGCAGGTCGCTAGTTCGTTGAAAACCTTGCGTTTTTGAAAATTGGAAAAGTTCAACATTTTTTAGTGTTATTACAACTAAAATATTAATAATGAGGTATTTTCCCTTAATAAAATTTGTTCCTTACAGATAGATTTTAAAATAAGGTCAGGAACAATTTTTCGAAAATTTTAGTACTTTTCGCGTAATTTTGTGTGAAAATACGAGTACTTTACTTAGTAAAGGCGAATGACACAAAATCCACGAATGAAATATCGAGTTGATGGTCTTGGTATAATCGATCAAACCTACAGAAATATTGCGGTGTCTTTTTGGCTTGACTGACTACAACACTGTCTATTATCAATAATTCTTTGAAACCTTGAACACCCTTTCTGCAACCATTTTGCTCTGGTCTCTTTGCAGAGATTATTTTTAGCCTTTAGATGGGTGTTGAGCATACTGGCTAGCACAGATGTAAAAATCTTCTATATTGTGGGGAGACATGTGATAAGTCGATACTTACTCAGAGTTTTAGAATCAGATTTTAGATTTGTTAATCATAAAGGTAACTCCTTCAGTAAAAGATGCCGGAATGAAAGTTGGATCGTTGAAAGCGGCTTGAACTGCCTCACCTGGCCAGAGCCGCACGAGTACATGAAAAATACTTCCACCAAAAGTTTTGTATATCAGTAACTGATGCTTTCCGATTCTGCGTCTTCCTGAATGAATTGAAGATGTTTTGTGTGAAATATCAGGTGAGCACATATGTGGTATATCCCACCACTCCCCTTCCTCTTCTGCTATCCAGTAAGCTCAGTCATCATGGGTCTTGGGGATGCTCCATATATTACTCCAATATTATTCCATCTCGGAGCTTTTAAGAACTGTTTCTGGCAACTTTCTTTGATCTCTGAATTGCCTGAAAAATGCTTCTGGTCGCATGAAAATATAGCATTCTGTTGTCTTCGTTTCATTGCTTTATGATATCTTCTAATACTGCACCCAAAGGCACGATACGCTGTGTCAGATACTCAAGTCAGTCTCGAAGCCTCTTCTCGAAATTCGGCTTATTATTACAATAAAATATGTCTAAACCGAAATTGAATGGGACAAAAATTAATTTATAGGTTTGCGTTTTATGCAGGATCGTCCATTTTATGTCTCTTGTTATATTCATATACCGTCCTGAAAACTAGTAAATTACGTGACTATTATATTTATGAAAATATATTACTATATGACAATTGTGGAAGAAATCACCAACAAATTAATAATTCACATATTTCTCACAATTAAAAGGAAAAACTTCATAACTTGTGCACAAAATCTAATATTATTTTTTCCAACATTAATCTACAGTTTTTTGCTTTTTTGGTTTTCTCACTTACTAACAGCTCTTCATTTTTTCTGAAGTTAAAAAATTATAATATTTAAGGTTTTATGTTTTTGGCTCAAACTGCCAATTGCTGTGACTGTCAAGAATTTCTGTTAAGTTAATAGGCATTAGCTGTTCCAAGGATATTGGCTTAATAATTTATTCCGCCTTTTTCTTTAACTTCTTTGCTCGGAATCCCTTCTGGCATTGGTAAAATCTACCTATCTTCTCTCGAAGACCACTGATACGTTTTTCTGACCTAATCAGCCACATGGGAGAGTTATTTTCCTTCCTTCTATTTGTGTGCGGGTTTGAATGACTTGTATTCTGTGCCGTGGTAACATCACGTTAATAGCTGTCGAGGCTGCACAATTTTTAGCTCCGTATTGTCATTCACATTTGTTAATTTCCTATAGCTTTGTAAGTACGCTTGTCGGAACTGGGGTATTTTGAGTTTCCTCTTCTAGTGCTACGTTCCTGTCATTATCTTCTAAGCAACGTTCTTGTGCTATTTTTCGTTTGATGTTGCTGGCCTCCTGCGATGATAGCAAGTGAATATGGATTATTGCTCTTTTCCTGTCTACTAAGTTCTATGCAGTAATGACTCCTGTGAATTCTAGACGAAGGAAAATAACTTGTCTGTGCATTTCTTTTATGTGACATCAGTTACCGTAATATGCAATAGAAGCTCTACTCCCTTATGTCTGTATCGGAAAAGATTATACTTGGGTTTTTATTTTTTGGCGCGTGAAGGCCAGTCTTCACGATGGAATATCTCACGCCGTTTCGCGTCTTGAGCGGTCGTGCCGTTGGATGTCGCATGATCGCGACCGAAACGAGCAGAGCTGGCGATTACGCGACATCTAACGGCACAATCGCGAAAGGCGCGAAATACCGTGAGATCGTGAAGACAGGCCCTCACGTGCCAAGAAATAAAAACTCAAGTTTATGTATTGTAACCTACCTCGCCGTGATGGAGCTTGCCCGGGTCACAGTCGACAGACGTTGTTTCTAACCTCTGAAATATTGATAGGGGAAAGGGGACGCATGCATGTTGGAGATATCCTACTCTTACTACCAATGAAACAGAACATAATTGAAATCAGAAATACTTGTTTTAATCAGGTAGTAGAAATATATAACCCATTTTACAGTGAATCCTGTCTCATACAATATTCCCCTTACTAATTAAATACCTCCTCTCCTCATACACAAGTCAATTAATGGCCCGCCCTCTTTGGCGATCTCACCACGCTCCTCTCCATGCTGACGAAGTGTTGGTGTCGGCGACGAAGCCCTGTTGATGGGCGAGGGATTGGTTGATTTTCCGTGTGACGCACGTTCTGTTGGTCTGGGCTCCGCGTGTAATCGCGTGAGCACGGCTCCTCCACGTGTCGTGCGCGGTAGAGCCTACATCGCGGCGACTCGTCCCTCGATCGCGGTCAGCAGCCGGTCACACACACGAATCAGATCCATAAACAATCGCGTCCCGATCATGTTCTCGCGGGATCGTCAGCTTAGACGGGGTTGCATTCAGGGCGAAGCGGCACGGCTCGCATGAGAGTGGCCTGAAGCGAGCGCGCTCACGAACTTT